TCTCGAGACGCTGAACCGCGCGCTTGCAGCAGAACTAATACGCGCCCCGTTAACCGGACGGCGCAAGCGCCTACGAGGCAACGAAGCCAAGCGCCTCGCCTCTGCAATCCTACAGCCCCTCCACGCCAAGCCACCACCTACCTCCCTTGCCCCCACGAAACTCATGAGCGACTACGCCCTCGGCATCGCCATCAGCAGCTGTCTCGGCCTCGCCTCTACCGTCGGTGTCGGCGCCGGCGGTCCTACGGGTGGCGTGCGGCGCGTCGAGTGCGTACGGTTTCGCGTCGGCGGCGATGGCTACGAATCCCCCGTTGACGAAGAGGAAGATGACGACGAGACTGAATCTTCCACCGCGAGACATGGCGCCCGCAGTATCAAAGAAACGTTTGATGTCTTTTTCAACGTCGCGTTTGGGGGTCTCACGGGTGAGTGGGTTGCCAAAGGTCTCGATATGTCGGCTGTTACCGATCCAGAGGATGAGACTGAGACATCCCGTGATGCACATGCTACGGCTGCGGATGCGAATGCGAATGCAGAGAGTTGGAAGAGTAGGTATCTTGATGCTAGGAGTCAGCTTTGGCAGAGTAGGGAGGAGGTGGGCAGGCTCAAGGATAGAATTCTTGAGGCTGTGTTGTGAGGTTATCCTCTTTCCCCCTTTCCTTTTTTTCCAAGTTTTTTTTTTCATCTAAAGGTGAATTTGTATAAGATATGTTTGGCGTATATAGGGTGTGTTAGGTTGGATTGGGTGGTTGGGATTTGTTATATACCCCAGTGTTGTTGCTGTTGTCGCCGCTGCTGTTGGGACCATTTCGGGTTCGTTCTCCTTTCTGGATGAAAGGGGTGTATTTTATTTTAGTCTTGCTGCATGTAGATAGTTTTAGTATACGAAGTTCGTTCATATGTTTGTTCTTTTGACTGTGCGTGCTCTGGTGTTGTGGTAGTGATTGGTTGAGGTGGTACTTTGTTGATTGATAGACAGGATTGATCATGTGGGTTTGAGAGACTTTTTTTACTTTCAACACTGTGTTTCGCTTCAGTTCATTGTTTGCAAGAGATTCAAGTCTATACTTCATCCTTCAAATCATCTTCGAGCAGTGAACAAGTTTGGGAGCTAGATGCGCCAAGGGCCATTTTGCATAGTACCCACTTCCTGTAACCATCAACAAGCCATTTCCCTCTATATCTTTATCCCTCAAATCATCTCTGACTACTTAAGCAAATCTAGGGACCAGAAACCAAAATACCCATCTACACACTACTAGCTTCTTTGGCAGCTTCGACAGGAATCTCGTCCTTTTCCCACGGCTTCTTCCGCTTGGGCTTCGTCGCTTGTGTCCCTTGTCCTTCTAGCACTGTAGGCGGAATCTCCTTGATGCCTGGTACTGGTTTTCCGCTTGTGATCAAGTCAACTATGTGCGCGAAGCTGGTGGGGTAAGGAGCGGGTGGCTCGGCTGCAGTTGGAGGCGAAGGAAGAACGCCGCTTGGTTCGGTGGCTATAGCGGGAGTAGTAGTGCTTGTGGTGGTAGAGGGTAACTCTTGGTCTATGACTGAGGATGCGAGTACGTTGGTTGAACTGGGAGGTGTGGGAGGTGGCCGGTTGCGGGCATTTCGATAGGCTTTATAGGCGTCAAAGTCGATGTTTTTATTGTATTTTCTATACAGTATCAGTAAGCATGGATCAATGTAATAGGCTATGTGGGATTACGATTTGGGACGGCTCTTTCATGGTTATGATTGCCATGCTTGTACATACCTCGCATAATAAAAACACCTCGCCCGTAATGCTAGCTCAGTCGTTTGTTCTGGCGTACTGTTGCTGCCTATGATCGCTTGCAAACCAGCCTGAAACTCCACATCATCGTCCCAGTTATACCGCTCTAGCGCTTCATAGACGTCGTCTAGTCCATCTGTAGTGACGCTCATGGCTCAATCTCACCCGTTACTCGGTATAAAAATAGTCAAAAACAAAAGACTCGGCGACCTCGAGGGTCATGTGATTCGCTGGGTCATGGATCAATGCGCATGAACCTGTAAGCCCAGACAATGTACGTCGTGAACGTGGTACATGAGGCAGTGTGGGGTAAAGGTTGGCCGGCAGGAGGCTCAAGCTCCCAGGCTACGCCTCGCTAAACATGCGCCAAGTTTCTCTCAGCTTCGTCCCACGACCAACCTCTCTCCGACCTTCCCTCACTTCCACCCCCCCTCCATCAACTTTACGACTTTCCCAAATTCTACCAGCCCTTTCTTTTCTCCTTGAGCTTCCATTTCTTTCATACCCGTTTTGATACCCACCTTACGTAGCCATGTCCGAGTTCATTGGGTAAGTCGCGGCCGCGTTGAATACCGTTCAAGCTCCAACTGACCTGCGACGCGCAGATCTCGCATTTCCCTCATCTCGAAAAGCGACATTCGGTCAGTACCCAGTTGATGCTGGGTTATTGCAGCCATTGACTCGCCATAGCTATGTCGGCACGCTCGTCGAGATCAACTCAGAAGCTTCCACAGTCTCACTAGACAATGTGCGATCCTTTGGTACAGAAGGCCGCAAGGGTGGCAAGGACGAGTATCCTCCATCAGACGTCGTGTATGAGCAGATTGTCTTCCGCGGTAGCGATGTCAAAGACTTGCGCATTGAGGAGCCGGTAAAGGAAAAGGCGCAGCCTGCCATGCCACAGGACCCCGCCATCATCGGAGTAAGTCTACATCACTTCTTTTCTTCTTCTTGTCCGGTGATGTAAAATTTTCGGATGTAAATCATTTAACCACCGAGAGCGCAAAACCGTGTGGATATTTTCCGTTGCCTTCCTTCTGAGACCCTTACATACAAGCTATTTCTTGTTCAATCACTTTTGAAGCTAAAGCTGACGCGACGCATGCGCCACAGGTACAACAAGCTCAGGCACGGCAAGAAAGCAGCCCGCAAGACGTGTCCGGTCGCCAACAGCCACCGCAGAACTTCCCTCAGCCTGGTCAGTTCCCTCCTGGTGGCTACCCACCTTTTGGTGGTCCTGGAGGTCCATATGGCAATCGGTTTGGCCCTCAGGGTGGGTTCCCTGGCGGCCCAGGTCCTTTCCCTCCTGGCGGACCTCCAGGCGCTTTTGGCATGCCTCCGTTTGGTGCCCCTCCTGGATGGTTCCCCCCTGGCCAGGGCTTCCCCCCGCCCCCGGGTCCGTTCTCACCAAACATGCCCATCGGCCCTCCAGGCCTAAACCAAAATCAACCTCCGCAAGGCCCGCGAGGTCCAGGACCCCAAGCTGGCAAAGATGATAAATCTGGCCAAGCGCAACAGCCCAAGGTTGCTGAGGCAGACGGTGCGTCGGCCAAACCAAAGAATGGTGCAAAGGGTTCTGGCGCTACTCCCACACCCGCTGGTGCGAAACAGGCTCCGCCGCCGCCAGTCGATTCTAAGCCTGATGTATCGGCTGCTTTGGCACCACCCCATCCTCAGAACACTCAGCAGCCTGCCTCAGGGAAGGGTGCATCCAGTGGACCAAAGGGAGGGCGGATTATTCCTGCTGTTCCCATTCCAAGCCCAAGGGCTAGCAAGACGGCACCTCACGGGCACCAACAAGCCGCTGCCGCTGTAGCCACTGTTCAAGTCCCTAGCGCTGCCCAACAACAGAATGCTACGCAGTTGGCGACCGCCGCTGTGGCCGAGGCTATGGCAAAGCTCAACATCCAGAACAAGGGTCAAGGTCAGAGCCAGCCTCAAGGCCAAGCACCTGCTTCGGATCCTATGAACAACTTGGCGCAGAAGGTTGAGGGCATGCGTGATCAGAGTCGCCAGCATGCGCCACGTCAACGAGGTACTGGCGAGTTCCGTGGCAGGGGTGGAAGGGGAGGCCGAGGTGGTCTTCACTCACAACATCCCAAGATGGAGGTCCCTACGACTGACTTTGATTTTGAATCCGCAAACGCCAAATTCAACAAGCAAGATTTGATCAAAGAGGCTATTGCTTCTGGATCGCCTCTTGGTGAAGGCGCGGCTTCCACAGCGGATGCATCTGCCAACAAGGAAGAGGTCGTTATTCCGAGCGGGTCAATGTATGACAAGAGCTCTTTCTTTGACAACATCTCAAGCGAACTCAAGGACAGAGAAGAAGCAGCCACCCGTGGTCAAGAGTTCCGCAGCCAAGAACGTCAGAAGAACATGGAAACCTTTGGCCAAGGCAGTGTCGATGGTTACCGAGGCCGGGGACGTGGACGCGGGCGCGGGCGTGGTGGTCGTGGCTCCGGCTATCGCGGACGTGGTGCTCCCCGTGGCCGTGGCGGTGCTGATCTTGGTGTTCAGCCTGCTGCTTAGCCGGCGAGCCCCATACTTTCTACTCCACAGTGCAGTCAGGGTTGCTTTGTGTAATTCAGCAAGTGCACTGTGCATTCAGTCTTGTTTAGTTGAGCGATCTGAGCGTGGCGAGTATCTTCTCTTTTTTGCTCTCAGCCCTATGGGCTCTGCTTCTGGTCGACTGGAGCGGCGTACTTTTCTCCGCATGTATTTATATATCTAGGGTTGCGATATGGAACCGGGACCAAAAGCCGGGCGGCTTGGATGGTGTGGCAAGCGTGAGGGTATATGTGATACGATTGCGAATAATGATCATGAGTATCTGTCCAATGCATGTGCTTCCTGATTACTCTGTGTTCTTGGTTACTCATTCTTTGGGGCTACTCATTTGTGGTGTTTGTTTCCCATATTTCTTTGTTGTCTCAATGAGAGAAATCAAAGTTCTTTCCACTGCACTACGGTGTTGCCAATTAGAAGATACCACCAGGTAGCCTTGTCGCCTAAATCAACTCCTGCTGCAGCCCAAGGAAGCACCTGCCCCACGATTGGTATTCACCAGCCAACCAGGTTAGTCTCTGCACTGCCCCCAACTTCAGCTGGCTCACTTGCCAGCATCCTTAAGGGCGACCGGAGACCCTTTATCTATCATCACTCACACCGGTCGTCGACATCAACATTTGACCTCTCCTCTCTTGCATCACACAGCGTTTCCTTTAAGATGCGTCTTTTGAAGACCAATGATGACGGTAGTTTCAGCCTTGTCGGACCTCAACGTAGCGATATTTCACCCTACGCCATTCTTTCACACACTTGGGGTGCAGATCATGACGAAGTCACATATCAGGACTTATCCAATGGTACAGGGAGAAAGAAAGATGGCTATAAAAAACTTACATTTTGCATGGAACAGGCTGCAAAAGATGACCTTTACCATTCCTGGATCAATACCTGCTGCATCAACAAGTCCAGCGAACCAGAGCTTTCGGAAGCAATCAGATCCATGTTCAAGTGGTGCCGTAACGCATCAAAATGCTATACTTACCTCTCCGATGTGTCTAGTATAGATTGTGACCTAGACAGCGTGGCGTTCTCGGAAAGTAGGTGGTTCTCCCAAGGATGGACGTTGCAAGAGCTTCTTGCTCCATCATGCGTCTAGTTCTTCTCCAAAGAGGGAGTCTTGCTGGGCGACAAGCATTCACTCGCAAAGGAAATCTCTGAGATGACAAAAATACCAGTCGAGGCTCTTCAAGGACATGATCTCTCTAAATCCAGCGTCGAGGAACGTATGCGATGGGCTAAAGAAAGAAAGACAACACGTGAGGAAGATCAAGTTTACTCACTGTTGGGCATTTTCAATATCCACATTCCTATCATGTACGGCGAAGGCGAAGGCCATGCACGGAAGCGAATGAGGGAAGTAGTAGAGGCCAGCACCAGGGCCAGAGACGCGAAAGTGAGGAAAACAAAAAGCTTGTTACCGGCACCGGATCCTTCAGTAAATTACCAGAAGGCGCTGAAGCAGTGACAGCATAACACTGGTCGGTGGCTGCTCGATGGAGAGCGTTATGAGACCTGGAAAATGGAAACTGCTTCGAACATATGGCTATACGGTATTCCAGGTTGCGGTAAAACTATCCTGAGTTCCACTATTCTGAAAGACGTTTTTCTACATTGCGACAGGCATTCCGGATATGTTGTTGCCTACTTCTACTTCGATTTCAACGACATACAAAAACAAGACACCGAGCGGATGTTACGATCATTAGTCGTACAACTCTGACAAAAGTCTGTCGACATACCTTTGAGTCTCAACGCACTTTGTTCCTCGCACGACAACGGGAAACGACCACCAGCTTGCGATAGTCTGTTGGAGGTAGCACGCGATTTGATAATACAGTTTTCACAAGTCCACATTGTTCTGGATGCATTGGATGAGTGCAACCAGTGGTCTGAGTTGTTGGAAATGCTTGAAACCATTGCTAGCTGGAAGATTCCGAATCTGCATCTCATCATGACAAGTCGGGAGGAGCCAGATATCAAGAGCTCACTAACAAGATTTGTGGATTCACACAACAGTATCTGCCTTCAAAGCAACGTAGTTGACAGAGAGATACAACTATACATCCGCCAAAGGCTTTCTGACGACAAGGGCTTGGCTAGGTGGAAAGAAGATTCTGTTCTACAGCAAGAGATTGATTTTGCCCTTGTGAAAGGCTCCAGGGGAATGCATGATCGATTTAAAGCCTATTTGCTTCTCGGACTGACTGTTGTGTAGGTTTCGGTGGGCTGCATGCCAGCTAGACACGCTCGGAAAGTGTCTCAATCGAAAACGTTTGCGGGAAACACTCCAAAAGCTACCATCCACCCTGGACAAGATTTACGAACGGATCCTGACGAGCATCAGCGAGGAATACGCTGATTACGCTATCCGCATTCTTCAGTGGCTAGCTTTCTCAGAACGCCCCCTATCAGTAGAAGAACTCGCAGAAGTGATTGCAATTGATGTGTCACGCGATCCAGAATTTGATAGAGACGAAGTACTGGAGGACCCCCTGGACGCACTAAGAATTTGCTCTAGTTTGGTTTCCATTACCCATGAATCGTATTTTCTCAATAGCTCGTTCGCGTTATTCGAGAAGCCATCAGAAGAGATTGTTGTGCTTGCCCACTATTCTGTCAAAGAGTACCTCATCTCAGACAGGATAAAGCGAGGTCAGGCAACGCGTTATAGCTTACAGGCTGCATTGTGCCATGGTGCTATAGCCGCGGCGTGTCTTGGTTACCTCAACCAGTTCCAGGAGCCTGAACTCATAACAGATCGAGCATTGCAGGAGTTCAAGTTAGCAAGATACTCCGCGAAGTTCTGGAGTAGACATGTTCGAAAGGCAGATGATCAAGAGGCAGAAGTCAACAACCTTGCTTGCCGACTGTTATCTACAGAAAACCCTGCCTACTTCATTTGGATGCGAATAACCCATCCGGATAGGGAATTCAGGTGGAACCACTACCCAGGATCGACAACGAACATCCTTCCACTATATTGTGCATCGATGCTTGGTCTCGAAAAGGTCGTGAGCCTCTTCCTTTCCGGGAATGCAGACCCTAACGCACGGGGAGGAGAATGTGATAACGCACTGCAAGCAGCTTCGACCAAGGGCCATGATCGTATTGTCAAAATGCTACTCAGTGCTGGTGCCAAAGCCAACGTAGAGAGTGGTAAATACGGTTATGCACTTCTTGCTGCGCTGAAATGTGGGCACGAGCGCACTACTAAGGTATTGATCGAAGCAGGCGCAACTTACTCGCACAGCAAGGGCCAGAGCATTGGACACCTGTGCATCCGAAACCTGGGCGCTAATGTTGAAATGCTACGGTTCCTCCACAAGAGCGGTATCGATTTGAGAAAGAAGGATAAGGGGGGCAGGACGTTACTGCATGCTGCAGCTATAGAAGGTTGTCTGAATGATGAGTTGCAAGAATACCTCACCAACATCGTTGGCCTTGAAATGGTTGATCAAGACAAAAGTGGTCGAGATGCTTTATATTATGTCACCAAGCGCCATGAAGAGGAAGAATTCATGGCAATACTCGGAGGTGATGTCCACGGAGATGCCGGCATAGCAGCTTTGGGACGCATGGTTGAAATCATGGAACTCACTCTGAAGCAGCTAGTGGCATAGTTTCTTTGTTACACTTGAGACAAGACCCCTGATAAAGATGCCATCGAGGTCGTAGGAGTCTAAGCCCCCCTCAGTTGAACTTGTAGCACATGATACCCAAGTAATCTGATTCTCTTCCAACTACTGCACACTCTATTCTCTTAACTAAAACTCCGTTACATGGAAACACTTGTAATCCCATAAACCCAATCTAGACACACGAAGAACTCACCCCACCTTTGCATGTATACTCACCAGGCAAGACACACAAGACTTCTACGCATATTTTCTTAGACGTACCAAATACCTTTCTTCTACCCTGGCATAAATCCGATGCCACTCCAATTTGTCTTTTCTTCTACATGAGGATGCCACTATTTCTCCCCTCCCAACATCATCTCGTACTCTTCTCGCTACGTAACTCGTATCACTACCCGTACACCCCAAAGGTACAACATATTTCAAATCACCAAACACAATTTTCTCCATGTCTCACCAAGGAATTGGGCTGTTTGTAATAAAGAAAATACATGCATTCATATTACCAATTATACCAAGCAAACAACCTTAATCCTCGAGTTGAATGATATCGATACTGTTGAAGTGATGAACTAGGTGTGCTAAGCATGGGTGGCATATTGGATTTGTGTTTGAATGGGTATTAGAGATTTCGGGTTCAGGGGGGGTTTGTTTTTGAATAGCGAGGATTTAGGAGAGCAGCGTGGTAGAATAGTGAAGGTGAATGGAAGGGATGTTACTAAGCTGAGTGGACATGTAACTGTACCAATGATGAGATGAGAAAGAGATAAAGTCTACTTCCGAGAATCAATTTTGCAACAAGCACTGGATGCTTTTCTTGGAAAGAAGAGCACAATCACCAGATGGAAGAACATGGATGGGATTATATAATTTATTCTTTGGTGTGTTTATTCTAGGGGTATATGGGGATTGTACTGGATGCGCTTGACAAAGCGATTCAGCAATAAAGTTATTGTGAACACCATGTGTGCACTTGGTTGATGTCTGGGGAGAGAGTATCGTTGTGGGCAGATGCCGGCATAAGCGGTTGTGGGGGTCACATCACTTATTCACGTTTCTGCAAATCTACTTCTCAGAGCTTTACGCCTTACGGAGGGCAAGCTTCTTGCGTGCCTGGATAGTGTAGGCATAGAGAGCATCCTTGAAAGCGAAGAGGAAGGCAGCGGTGATGACGCTCTGGGTAACCTTGGGTCCAATGCCTATTTTCATATTAGCTTTCATCATTTTCTCCAAAGAAAAACAGATACATACCTCCATAGAGACCAGTGTATCCCTCCTCACGGATGATCCTCCTGAAAGTAGTCATCATGTTCTCCCTTGGACCATCCCTGCCTGCAACGTGCATCCTGCTCTTAACCGTAATGTAGGGGTAGGTAATGCTTGTAGCCAGCAACTTGCCGAGAGCACCGAGGTAAAAGGCATCCTTGGGGGTCACGCGCCTCTTCTTCTCCAACAGTTGCTTCAACTGCTCGAACACGGTGTACTGCAGGATAGGGTTGATAACAAGGACCAGGGCGGGCATGACGCCGGCAAAAAGGCGAGCAGGGCCCTCATCACGGATGAGAGCAAACAGGGTGGCGAGAGTGGAAGGGGCCTTCTCGACCGGCGCACCAGGCAGCGATCCTTCCTGGGCCTCAGACTTGCGCGTTGTCATGCGCGTGTTGATGACCCAGATGGGATTGGTCATGAGGACCGTGGCGCTACCGGCAATGGCGCCAGCGATCATCGACTCAATGGTGGTGAGCTTGGACGAGGCGCGACCGGCCTTGAGGGCGGCCTTTTCGAAAAACGAGCGAGTCCATTCATACCCTAGTTGGGGTCAATAGGGGGTTTGGGTGGGATGGGAAAAGGAGCCGAGGTACAGTAGTAGTAGACAAAGTTTGTGACTGTAATGCCGAAGAGGGCAGAGTCCATGCCGGCGTAGAGTCCGGCGACGCCCTCGCGCTTGATGATGCGGCGGGCGGCATTGAGCGTCGACGACTGGGCGCGCTTCGACTCAACCTGGGCGCGAGTGGAGAGGGTGATGAGGGGATAGCTGCGAGCATATCTTGTTAGTGGTGCGCATAGCATTGAGACGGTCGAGGGCAGACATACGTCAGGGCCATGGAGAGCAGACCCCCGCCAGCGCCAGCGAGGGCGTGGGCAACATTATCGCTCTGCTGGGCCGCCGTGCTTTGAGGCACTGCCGCCGTCGACTCGGCCAGCTTCTCCTGCGCCTTTTCCTGTGCCTGGGACATGGCCAGGTGGTGTTGAAGATGGATATGCGAGATGCGCGATGGACGGGCAAATACGGAAGGCGCAAGCGGGGTGCGTCGAGACGAGTGGAAGGCGCAGCCGGGGAGATGGTCGTGGTCGTGATCAAGTAAGTAGGGAGCGATGCAGCAGTCAGCAGAGAGGCGATGATGTGAAGAAAGGGCGTGCAAAGAAAAGCGGCTTAATTATCAGATGGAGGCTCCGGGCCATGGTCTGCGTCTCCGCATTTGGCCTGCGGCTCCAGCTGCTGGCTTGTGAACGTCACCAGCCCAGTTCCCGGGGTAAGTAGTACAACCGAGGCAACACGACCCCCCCGGCCTAACTCGCTTTCAGCAATCCTCTGCCAACCACCAACCACATGCCATGTCTACCCTTCAAACACCCACCCAAAAATCAAGTCTCCGAGCTGCATGGCTGCGTGTGTGATCAGCGCCGCTACCCAAAGCTACCACACCCAACCCCTGCTCATCTCCTGCATATCCTCTTCTCCCACGTCCTCAAGGGCACGTATAAAAGCGCCGACAGCACCACGGCCACCTCGAGTCCGATGTCGCCCGTAGTTTCTGCAATAGGCCCTGTCCACCAGATCTGGCCCATGCAAGGTACAATGAGCCCAAACGACAACAGAAACGCCCCCAGCGCTGCATATCCCGCTGGGAGTTTCTGTGCGTCGTCCCATGCGTCCGTATCCTCGGTATAGGCTGCAAAGCTGCCACCTCGGAATAGCACATGTTCAACCAGCACAATGCCAATGAACGCAGCGCTCCAGTATCCAATGACACCAATGAAGTTCTCAAGGTTGAGGAAGAAGCTCTTTGACGCCTCGACAGCGACGCCAATGACGATGCCCGTGATGACGATGCTGAAGACGATGCGTGGGACGCGGAAGAGCCAGGGCACGAGCATCTGCAGGTTGAGTGTGACGCTGTACATGGTCGCAGACAGGTTGCCCAGCATGCTGAATGCCAGCACAACAGTGACAAACCGTCCAAAGCCTCCTGCTGGGTGCAACATGGCTGCAAGGACACCGCTCGCTGCATTAACCTCGTAGCCCGCTTGCCACGATGGCACATTGGGTGTCGCGCCGCCCATTGCTGCACCCAGTGTCATCAACAGGACTGTGGGGAGTGCGAGGCCAATATATGTGTACAATGCGATGCGGGACCGAGGTGCCTTTGGGTGCATGTATGTGGAGAAGTCGCTGGCCAGTGCGGCCCACGGCAACATGAAGCTGGCCACTAGACCGCCAAAGGACAGTACCTGCGATGCAGTCGCCGCAGGGGCAGCAACCTGGTTACTGAGTTGCTGGCCTCCGCACCCTGCAGCAATGACAAGTGCCAGCAGTGCGGGTATCCACGCCCATCGCTCGTAGTGGTGCAGCACGCCAAACCCACAAAAGGATATGACGAGTGACAGTAGGGCAATCACAACGATGCCGACAGTCGCATTGATGGTCGTTCCATCTTGCACCGCAGACAAGGCCATGCCGCCAATGACACTGTCAACCACACAGAAGCCAGTCAGCGTTGCGAGGTTGAGCAGTATCAGAAGAGACACAAAGTACTTTCCAAACGAAAATCGCGCTTGGACAAGTTGTCGCATGCCAGTCACGGGGCCCCACGTGCACATGTACGCTACAGGCACTGTGGAGACGAGCGTGAAGAAGAGGATAACCAGCGCTGCATCTCGTAAACTGAGGCCAAACGACATGGTCCCCACCATGCCAAACGTGACCCTGTGTCATGATCAGTCGCTAGATCTCGTTGTCATGACCGTGCAATCACTTACGGAAGGGGGTTGCAGCTCATGCAAAACCACAGTGTGAAGATCTTGGAGTAGGCCGTCTCGTCCCTGTCCTCGTAGGCAACTGGGGTGCATCCTCTGATTTCAACATCTCCCTTTTTCTCCAGAAAGTTCAACACACCCCTCCATCCTCCCAATTTCTCTTGCTTGCCGTGTGTGACTTCGTTGTCCACTCCTCCAATCTTGACGAGTGATGGCCGCTTGATGTCGTCTTCAGATGGGACCCTACCCCCGCCATGGTTACTTCTTCCCACCTCCGGTATATCTGCCATGTCTTTCTTTTTTTCTTTTTCAACGTCGCCTAACCCACACCTTGGCCGCTTCTACCCGACAAGGAGGATAACGGTAGCCGTGATTTTGTCAGATATTCGTAATACCGAGACTGCGGTGAAACCACTGGTTTGGGGGAGGATGCAACCAACGGAACTGGACCCCCACTCCAAGGCGTCCAAACGATAGAAAAATCAGAAAAAGTAGCCCCAGCTGTGTGGAAAGCGCGGAGTCTGAATTCCCCATAAGCCTATGGCATAGTTATGTCTGAGTCAGCCGCTCCACCATACTCGTAGTCAACATGACTCCTTTCCCCCCCAAGTTTCTTATCGGCGTGGCGGTACCGCAGCAAAAAATCTTCTTTTCCCCGGTATTCGCTCTCGACACCAAAAAGGTTACACCGCACTAGGGCCTCGCCTACCCGCCGCCGGGTTCACACGAACAAGGGCAAACCGGAAACGAGCCGACGACGCCTGGACCAGAAACCACAAATCTAGGCCGGTACAACCGTCTAGCTATCCGCGGTCCTTAGCTGCATGCAGCATAGTCCTCGTCCTGCTAATCTGGGAAAGATGACGAAAGTGGGCGTATACGGTCGGAGGCACGGTTACTAGCGTGGCGAATTGCAGTCTTGCAGTGTGAAGCACACAGTCAAA